AGAGCTAGAAATTTATGATGAGGCATGTGAGTGGTTGATGCGAGCAAGTGGGAGCTTGCTATGAAAGATGAGATGAAGTCCTTGAACTCTAACAAGACTTGGGAGCTTGTGAAGTTGCCAGTGGGAAAGAAAGCATTGAGAAACAAATGGGTGTACAGAATCAAGGAGGAGCATGATGGTTCCAAGAGATACAAGGCTAGATTGGTGGTCAAGGGTTTTAGCAGAAAGAAGGAGTCGACTACACGAAAATCTTCTCTCATGTAGTCAAATTGACTACTATCAGATCGGTTATGAGCATTGTTACAGCTGAGGATCTACATCTCGAGCAATTAGATGTGAAGACAGCCTTCCTCCATGGTGACTTAGATGAAGAGATATACATGCAGCAGCCAGAGGGGTTTACTGAGAAAGGCAAAGAGAAGATGGTGTGTAGATTGAAAAAGAGCTTGTATGGTCTGAAACAAGCTCTAAGGTAATGGTACAAAAAGTTTCATGGGTTCATGCAGAGGAATGGATACTCCAGGTGCAATGCTGATCATTGTTGTTTCTTCAAGAGGCTTGACACCAGCTACATAATCTTGCTGCTAGACGTAGACGATATGCTAGTAGCCGGTTCAGATATGGGTGAGATCAAGAAGTTGAAGAAGAAACTATCATGTGAGTTTGACATGAAGGACTTAGGTGCAGCGAAGCAGATTTTGGGGATGAAGATTAGCAGAGACAAGCTTTTGGGCACACTGCGCCTATCTCAGGCCGAGTACATTAGATGAGTGATTGAGAGGTTTGGGATGAGTGATGCCAAGGCTGTTAGCACACATTTGGCTAGTCATTTCAGGTTGACTAGGGAGCAGTGTCCAGTGATTGACGAGGAGAAAGACTACATGGTGAAGGTTCCATATGCTTCAGCCATTGGAAGTCTTATGTACGACATGGTGTCTACGAGGCCTGAAATTGCCCATGCAGTGGGAGCTGTGAGTAGATTCATATCAGATCTAGGAGAACAGCACTGGGAAGCAGCGAAATAGATTCTAAGATACCTATGGGGTACTATAGAGAATTGGTTATGCTTCAAGTGAGGCAAGTTGGGTCTGCAGGGATTTGTTGATGCAGACTTTGCTGGTGAGATAGATCAGAGGAGAAGCACTACGGGGTATGTGTTCACATTAGGTACTACTACCATCAGTTGGGTCTCCCAGTTGCAGAAGATCGTCGCTTTATCGACTTCAGAGGCAGAATATGTTGTCACAAGCACTACGGGGTATGTGTTCACATTAGGTACTACTGTCATCAGTTGGGTCTCCCAGTTGCAGAAGATCGTCGCTTTATCGACTTCAGAGGCAGAATATGTTGTTGTGACAGAGGCAAGCAAGGAGATGATATGGTTAAAGGGGTTCTTTGAGGAGTTAGGACAAAAAATGAAAGAGTGACTTACACTGTGATAGCCAGAGCGCCATCCATTTGGCAAAGAACCCAGCTTTTCATGCCAGGACCAAGCATATACAGGTTCGTTCTCACTTCATAAGGTCAGCCTAGGATGATGACGAGTTGGAGCTTGTGAAGATCCAAGGAAACAAGAACCCGGCTGACATGCTTACAAAGACTGTCACTATGGAGAAACTGAAGTTGTGTTCAACTTCAGTTGGTCTCATTACTTGATAATATGGGAGGTCGTCGCCGCAGGGAAAGATCATAAAGATTGAAAGTTAGTCTCCAAGTGAGAGATTGTTAGGGTTATGTGGAGCCTAACTATCAGACTCGGCCCTATTCGCTGCATTGAAGAGAAAAACAGGAAAGTACATGAAAAATGAAGCAGGCAACGTTTTGGGTGTTGGCCGGTCGACCGCGAGGTAAGGCCCAATCGATCGGAAAACATGCACACTACAGGGTGTGTTTCTGCATTCTGGTCGGTCGACCGCGAGGCTAGGTCCGGTCGACCGCGGACCCTGTAATTGGTTTCCTGAGATTTTGACGTTCTGTTCGGTCGACCGCGCCATTGTTGGCGGTCGACCACGACTCGGGTTTGGGCCTGGGCTCGTTTTCTGGTCTGTTTGAGATTCTTGTTTGTAAGAACCCTATGCTATAAAAGGGGTGATTAGGGCAGCTTGTAAACTGGTCTGTTTGAGATTCTTGTTTGTAAGAACCCTATGCTATAAAAGGGGTGATTAGGGCAGCTTGTAAACTAACCTGAGAAGTTTGTAAGAACCCTATGCTATAAAAGGGGTGATTAGGGCAGCTTGTAAACTAACCTGAGAATAGTAAAGCTTTTTTCTTGCGGCTGCCGTGGACGTAGCTTCTATCGTTGAGAAGTGAACCACGTAAAATTCCCTGTGTTCTGTGATTGTTCTTTTTTCTCTTCCTCGTCTCTATTTCCAAATCACAACGGGGGTTAGAAAACCAACATAAAACATTTCCCATGAGCAACGCATACTTCCTAATGGAGCACTAGTAACTGAAACTACCAACTGGCAACTTTAGTGTGCCCTAGTTTTCTGTATCCTCACATTCAATATTTCTAGGTACGTTTGCATTCATTTCACTCATTATCATATACTACAGTTAGGTAATGAGATGTCATGTTTGAGAATGATACTAAGTAAACAATGTATATGGTATATAGACTTCTTTATGTACCATTGAGTTTGTAAATATAAAAATACAGCTTATTTGCTGACGAGCTTTAGCACTATACCTGAACACAGTGAACCAAGGTTTGGCTACACAGCATTTTATGGCATAAGCGTGAATCCGGTGCTATTCCTAGCGAGGGTTCTTCATCAGAGCAATGTCGACGCAGCAAATAATGTCAGTAAATGGATGGGCACGGTCTATATGTTCTCCATCTTCAGTGCATTCCTTAGTGACAACTACTGGAGAAGATACGGGGCTTGCGCTGCGTTACAAGTCATTTTCGTGATCGTAAGTTAGCTTACTGTACAGAAGTTTCATTCTGAAACTTGTAATCTAAATTGGTTGATTCTAGTTTCTTTTGAACCTCTACAAGGCTTGGTGATGCTCTCTTTATGTTCACAACTTTTCCTGCTGGAACCCTCAGGCTGTGGTGGTGAGCCCAGACCATGTAGTCCGCACTCTTGGACTGAGAGTGCGCTTTTTTTTTTCTTTTCTTTTCCTGCAATGATCTGTATGAACTGGATGAAAAGGAGCTTGCTGTAGCGGGTGGAAGCGGAAAATACTCCACGGCCAAGGGTATGAGCAGGTCATCTTAAACTGATTTGATTAAATTTCCTAGGATTCTCATTTGAAAATAGCGTAACAAGTGTGTTTTTCAACTCAAGAAGTCTTGACTGACGGAAGATATCAAGGAGAGTGTTTCACGCTTAGTGAAGTTTATCACTTGGTCAACTGCCTCTACGTAGAAAACAGAGAGGCTTGCTTTATTCTCATTCCTCTCCTCCTATGTACTTCTACCTTTGTAAATATTGGTTCTCTTTGCTATCATCAATAAACTAAGCCTGGGACTCTTTAAGAATAAGATTTCATTTTAAGATTCTGTAGTAACTTCGCTCTTCCACAGGTTCTTGGACAGAGCTGCGGTTGTGCATGACAAAGACTTCAGCTTAAGGAAACAGTTGATTCTCAGGGATCCATGGCGACTCTGTACCATTACACAAGCCGAAGAAGTGAAATGTGTGATCCGACTCCTTCCCATTTGGCTCTGCACCATCACCTACTCCGCAGTCTTCAACCAAATGGACTCTCTCTTCATCTCACAGGGCGCGGCCATGGACACCAAAGTGGTTGGCTATCGTATCCCAGGAGCCAGCATATCAACCTTTCACACTATCACGGTCACAATCTTGTATCTTAATCTACAGTCATCTGCTACGACCTCTGAACATGACTCAGCTGCAGAGGTTAGGGGTAGGCCTCATCGTCTCAGTCTTAGCTATGGTCTCAGCTACCCTTATTTGAGAATTTCAGGCTAAAACAGGCTGAAGGCAACACAAGCTCGCTGAGTATCTTATGGCAAATGCGTCAGCATATGCTTATAGGAGTCTCCGAGGTGCTTGTGTATGTTGGCCAGCTCGAGTTCTTCTATAGTCAGGCGCCTGAGGGGTGCTTTTGAAGTGCACTGTGCATGACTTTGATATCCTTAGGAAATTTTGCTAGTTACGCGATTGTGGCTATCGTGATGAAAGTCACGGAGAAAGGTAGTCTGTTTGGGTGGATGCCGGTGAATCTTAACATCAGTCATATCAACAGGTTCTTCTCTGTTGGCGGTCTCCAGTTTTGTTGATTTAGTGGTGTATATCGTTTGCGCCAAATCGTACCACGGCATCAGGTTGGAGGGGAAATGTTGAGGGAGAGAGTTTGACTTGAGAGAGAAGCGAGTCTAGAAAGGCCATATACCTATAGACTAAGCCATTTTTCTCCTAACCGATCGCATTGATTTCAAAGGATTGGTTGAGCTTTAAGAGAGTAATTGTGAAAGAACATAGAGGAGATTGATATCTAAATTGATGATGCAGACTCCTTAAGATTGTATCTCTTACGGGGGAGAATTTGTGTAACAATAAATAGTGTTCTATATGATTAGCAAACATTCAGCAAAAGTATGAAATATATTTACAAAGTAATGATGTGATAAAAACCAACCGAATTAAGTTAGAACTTCCTGGTTGCCGTCAACTTCCACCAACGTTCAAACAAATTCAGACTAAAAGTACAGAAGGAACCATGAAGCTTCTCTGGCCATTTTGATAAAAGGAAAGCCTCTATGGTAATAATACAGGAAAATATATGAGGATCAATGTAGACGGCAAAATTTCCTTTCCTTTAATAAAAGGTCATGTTAGCAACTACAGTTATAGATCAGCCCCTGTTGTAAAGGAGGCCTAATTGTGGTCAGAAGAATTGCTTGAGTTTCAAAATGTCAGCTGTGGATGCGGCAATATGAATTGATGAAATGCCTACATTCACCTTCTTCAACAATTAACTTCTAACCAAACCAAAAAAAAATGAAGTCATGTTTAAGCATGGCATACGTAAAATTATCGGTCACTAAGATAGAAATTCATCTTATCTATAAGTAATTTAGTAGTACAAATAATGGACAACTCATAAACAAACTTTGGAATAGTACATTCCGGAATAAAGAATTAAATAAAACACTAACTCAATTTGAACAAAACTTGGTAAATATAATTGACAAATCAATATGTAAACATCAGCCTTGAACCACCTTACGAACTTGAATGTGATGAGTAGACTCATTTCGCCAGATTGAATGTGTTCCACTCTGTACCAGAGTAACGTATTCTCCGTTCCTCAAGAATTTCCCATTCTGTTTCACAACATATAATTAGGCTAAGGAAAAGTAAGCATGTTAGTTCTAAATCAGAAGAATCCACAGAGTATACAATACCAGCAAACAGTTTATCGCCCTAGAGAAGGTCTCTTCTGCATCATCAGAAAATGGCATATATATAGGTTGGACCCCTTGATAAAGTGCCAGTCTTTGTCTAATCCTCTCGCTGCAAATACACAAGGTATATTATTATATGGTAATCAACATGGGGAATTAACCAGAACATATAAGGCATCCCTCAAACATATGCTGGATAAATAGATGGGGTTAATTTCACAAAACGCCCTAAACTTTGAAGAGAAGTTTGTTTTTTTTTTTCTTTGTGGGGGTGAGGTTTCACATAACCCCTGCTTATTTATCTATTGTGCCCCCCACCCCCACCCCCACCCCCCAACAGCACACACAAGCTTTTAACTTTCCTCACTGGACCTGTACAATGTAATTTGCCAAGTAATAAAACTTTTTGAGACAACAAGCCAAAATGTAGGGGAAGATGCTGTCTTGTAAATGACAAATGACAATTTGGATCCCCCCCCCCCCCCCCATGGACATTTTTTTTATTTGGTGGGGGGGGTCAAATGAGAAAAGGTTAAAGTTCAAGAAGTTCTGGGAGACACCCTAAAGTTTGTTTAAGGGGTTATGTAAGATAACAAAGTTCAGGGGGTTATTTAAAAAAACCCCAACCATCAGGGCGTAATGTGAGTAATCCTAATTAGAAACTAGTAAAGCAAAAAAAAAAAATCTGCTGTTTAACTTTTTTTTTCTTCAATACAATTATATTAACTACTGGTGTACTTAATATGTGGATCCGCTACCTGAGAAGCTAACGTGTGCCCTGAGGTAAAGTGTTTATCCACATGGTACTAAAACAGAGGAAGTATTCTACTTTAAAGAAAGATTCTAACTCATAAGTTCAAATCCTGCCCTCCTCCTGCTCTGTCTTTTGCTTGTGAAGAGTGTTAAATGTTTGGTTTTAAATACTGAGAACCCATAGACTAATAGTTGAAGCTTTTGTATGAAGTGTTTAGCAAAATACGCATCTCTCGTGCCTGACTAAAATATGACAATGTCAAGATGATAGGAAAGTTAATAAACTGTAAAGACTTACTTATTGGTAAATGCAAAAATTGTAGAAGAGGGCCTATAGTGGCTTAGAAGAATAGCCATGGAACCGGTTCTTGTGAAAACAATGATCGGCAATCCCACGGTATCTGCCATCATGGTAGCATGGGATGCAAACATCGCACTCAGATCACTTGGACCATACTCTCCGCTTTGGAGGGCCTTCACGAAACAACCCACAAAGTATAAGATGTGGCAAAGAATAATTTCAGTAAATACTACAATTTCGGAAGTTAAAAAACCCGTTATGTACAACACAAGCACTGAAAGACCAACTCCAAAAACTAAATAACAAAATAATTAGTTGCAAGTACCTGGACATCAGAAGAAAGAATTGGACGGGTCAATCTGGAGGATAGAGTTGATTCAGTTCTCAATGCCACAGTATGCATCACTTTAACTGCTTTCAATGGATACCTAAACCCAGAAATTCAAGTAATTATGATGGACAATGCTTAAACCCAAGAACCAATAATTATAATTAATTCTCCTTTACAAAAATCTAGAATATTAAAACTCAGAATCGACGAATGTGCCAACAAATAATGCATGAGTAGTTTCCCTTAGATTTAACCATTGTGTCTATCCACATATAAAATTTAAGGTGAACTCAGATCCAAACACCAGCAGCAGTCAAAGTTGATGAATTATCTCCACAATAAAAAAATGAAGAGTCACCTAACGAGTAGATTTGGTTGAAACTTGGAAGGGAGACTAGTCAAAAACTTGAAATGGAAATGTGGTGACTTACTTTCCATGCGCAGTTTCACCGGATAGCATGATGGCATCGGTGGCTTCTCTCACTGCAATTGCTATGTCAGAAACTTCAGCCCTGGTGGGAGTTGGATGGTCAATCATGCTTTCTAGCATGTTTGTTGCTACAATGACTGGTTTCTGCATGCTCTGGCATTTCCTAATTATCTCCTCCTGTTCAATAGATTAAAGAAAGTCTTGCTTTTAATATTACCATTAGACCATAAGAATTAGTTTGTGGTTATAGATTTCTACATTGACAAAGGAAGCACCACATGGGGTCAAGAATTAATATTTCTTCGTCAAAGTATCAGCACCACATCAGGTTCTGAACAAGGCAACATGTTTTGTTCAAATATTTAATTTCCAAATCTCAACTAATATCCCTGAAATTTCATATGTGAAACGAACAATGAAGGAAAATAAAAGGTTATTAGCCTTCATCCCTCTTATTATGGATCGACTACTCCATGTACTGAAGGACGGCAATAGGAGCAGTAACAAAGTCTAACCCGATGGGAGCCACAAAAACTCTTTCGTGTCATTCAGTTCTATAAGGATAACATTTGTTTACTGCCCGTCTGCCTCAATCCTTTTCCCCCTTCCCAATCCTTCATCCTATTAATATCTGCTACAAATTTAAGGGGTCATGTCCCACCATATGCTCTCCTTAGGTTTCAACAAGTCTTAGGTTTCAACAAGTCCATGTATTATAAATTTATAATCTCGTAGTTATCCTTATGACTTATCGAAAATGATAATGATCTTATTCAAAGGCTAGGCTTCTCTACCTTGGACATCCTTATGAAGCTGTTGGCCCGTCTCTAATCCTAAAGTCATGACCAGTGCGCTTAACTGTATTGTTGAGCTGCAAAGTCCCATGAATGGAGAAGGACTACGTTAATCTACTTGGACCCAAATGGACTTAAAAGGATTAACCTTATTTAAGTAATGAGCCCAAGCATATTTCACCATATTTCTATATAACTGTTTTTCCAATCTCATCTCATGCCTTTTGCTAGACCAAACCCCCACCTAAACTGAATGAAGAAGAGACACTCCTAATATGTTCAAACCATCGCAGGCCCTTCTCTGCATATTACTCTCAATTGAAGCTACTCTAACCATTCAGAGTTCCATTCCCTCTTCTGTCTTTTCTTTTTAATTGATCTCGTCCAGTGGGATTCTGGTTTCAACTATACCCAGTACATTTTGCGACATTGATTGCCAGTCAAACGATACATGACTGGTCTTTCAGCACCATCTATTGATCTTTGCTTTGAAAGGACATTCTAAGATTGCATGATAGCATAATATGCCACATGCCCTTTTCAATTTAAAACCTGCTTTAATTCTACAAACAAAATCCACATAAAACTTGCCATTACCGGCGAATCATAAATCCCCTACAATAGAGCACAGGTACTTCATCAGCATCAATCAGAACAATTTGGTCATTTATTATTTATCAATTCTAAAGGTATATCTTTGTGTATTTATTTTCATCGTACTCTAAAAATCTCTTGAAGTCCTAAATCCATCTTTAACTTAGAAATTCACTCTCTCTATGAAAAATATCTTGGGCAAAGGGAAACAACATGAACACAGAACTTCACCATTCTTGAGTGTATCGATAAGGTCACTCATTATAATTTGCAATGTAGCAAAGACTTGTATGACTATGATATAAAAATCTTTTATGTCACATACATCAATGTTGAAAAAAGACGCCTTATTTAACTTGTTATCTTGCTTACGTAACATATAATAGCCACTCAGTATTTCTGAACACCTTGAAATGACTCAAAAGCAATTTACTATTGCGCTATTTCAAAATAGCATGTTCTTCAGTGCATAAAATAAGATCAGCTGTATAGGATTCTCAATTTTCTAAGCCTCGCATCTTTAAATATTAGCAAATATTTTTTTTAATTTGATGCTTAGCAAAAGTCAAAATTATCTAAGCTTTTATTTTTAAGCACTCAGATAAGACCCATTAACTTTAATGCAAGGGGCTGATAGTTAACTGTCCCATCATTTGCTTGTGTGTAACCTCCTTAAAAGAGCCAAGTAATATACAGGAAAAACATTAACTATAATGTCCTACCACTAATTAGGAATGACATCAATACCCAACTAATTGTGACAGAAAACATTAAACTGTAATGATGATGATGATGATGTGCAGCTTGTTAGGAATATGATAAATATACAACCCATTTTTGATAGGAAAAACATTAGATATAATTATGATGATGTGAGACTTGTTAATTTGATGCTCAAGAGAATAACGTACACAGATAGATCATAAAACTCTAAATAATGTAAGCTTTTATTTTAAGCACAGATAAGAGCCATTTACTTCAATGCAATGGGCTGATAGTTAAATGTCCTGTCACTTGTTCAGAATGTCCTATCACTTACTAGGAATGATATCAATACCCAACTAATTTTGAGAGGGAAAGATGAAACCATAATCATGATCATGATGTGTGCTTGTTAGGAATACGATAAATACGCAACCCACTTTTGATAACTTGTTGATTGATGCTCAAGAGAACAACGTACACAGATAGAACAATCAACATATAGAATTATTCAGAAAAGAAAATGTATAATATATGATTATATATATTACACATTCAAGTATGAGTAGATAGATGTTCTGTATAAATAATTGTGATCACCTGCAGCAATGGAACATCCTCAATTGGAAGCTCAGCTCCTAGGTCCCCACGAGCCACCATTGCCTATTAAGTATTCCATTGGTAGCAACAGTCAGACCAAAATCAAGCACCAAATAAATATGCTAAATATCAAAAGCTAACTTCTCTTATATATATTTACATTGGTAAGAAGAAAATTTTCAATTTGCAGAGGTTATTTATTACCTCAATATCTTGAGACAAAAAAAAAACTCAAAATGGCTGTTTATTGAGCACCTGGCTGTGTACTTTGAGTTGCAGCTAATAGCGCATAATAAAAAATTAAACGCTAGGAAGATTAAAAAAAAACTGCAGTTGGAACTATGAGAAAGACAAATATAGTACCATGAAATTTTCATCTTATCGTGCTTCCCTGTTGAGAAAGCATATACTACAATAAATGATGAGAAACACCAACACTTTTGCAGCTTGTGTATGAGTTTAGGCTCATGTCAGAAAAGAGGGGAAAACTGGACATTCTAAAAATGTTGAAATAGCCCTATACATACAGGAGAAACTTCCAGTTTCAAAGTATACGTACAGGAGAAACTTTCAGTTTTTAAGTGGTTTTTCTATTAATGCTTCACTAGAAAACACCCTCAGTACTTATTATACCCATGTAATAAGTACTATAGAAACCACTAGAATGATCCCAAACAGATTCAGTTTGCGTGAATCCAGTAAATCATAGTTCACCTTTTACAGCGGGTTCTGAAGCTCCCCAAGATATGCACTAACATGTGGCCTATTATCCCCTATGATCCCATTGGTGCATGATATTCATGGGAGCTAAAGATGAGCACAATAAATATTATACATGCTTGCATCAAGAAGCTAAGGCAGAACAAAATTTGGTATATCCCCAAGTTCGTTACGTTAACAGGATCTGAGCGAAGATGGTGAAACTTGGTCCTATTATCTCACATATCATCAACTCAATTCCCCTAAACTTGTATAAATTTGCATGCACACTAAATGTGAGTAACAATATATGCAGTTAGCCCCCAAGACCTAAGGTGTTAACCTTGCAGACCAAACTGACCAATACTTATGAATGCATTCTTAGATTCATAATAAAACACGCTATAAGTAGTTTCAAAACCGTAAAGTATTATCAGCAGTACATGGAAATATGTACCATGCAGTGCCTTTTGAACCAAGAAAGTAATGATTTATCCAGCACATATAAATTTGTATTGCAACCAAAACTTGTGCCCCGAATTCAAGCAAGAACCAGTGAACACTCCTGAACAGAAAGAGAAGCATTTGTTGGCGGTCTGTACAGGCTAGGTGAGATCTATTTGGCAGATTGGCCAACAACTGCATAACCTCTGGGAAACAGTTGCAAGAGTCTCCCCTGGAAACGGGATTTGTGATATTATGTAGCATTGTAGCATATTCAAGAGGACAGCAAAACCAATGCTGATCAAGTCCAAAAGGTAGGTCTCTAGCTATGCCGATAATTTGCAACAAACTCGGAGTTAACTCTTCAGTTGATTTAGTTGTATTTTGTAGTGAAAACCATTAATGATATCTAATGCTGAATTTCACTTTTTTTAACTCAAGACACTACAAGCTATGTCCATGCTGAAGCCTTTTTTACATATTAATTCAACACTAATACCGCCAATCTCCATCACAACCTATGTAGGATGGGCCCTTCTATTATGAAACTGTACCTATCTCATACCCATATCAGACAGACACTTTGTTGGACAGTTGTCATACACCATATCCTACCCTTCACACACTTCTTTAAACTCATTATGTGCCGAGTTTGTTTCGACTCATATTCAGTTCAAAACTATGATTTTAATAGGTATTTTCAGTATCGGGTTCAAAAAATTTATAGTTTATCTACTTCTTTATTACTAAAGTAGAACAACATAAAAGATAAAATGAACAGTAACCCAAAAAACATAGATGAAAAAATAAAATGAATAACCAACCCACACATCTCTCTACTCCCACGTTCTCCTATGGCCATTTCCCAAACTTCCCATACCAGCACGTTCTCCAAACTACTCTTTTTTCCAAGCCTGCGGTTCCAGTTTCAGCCAATTGTTTCTCTTCCACTTTATCAAAACTTTCACCCCCTTCATTTTCTCTTCACAATCCAGAAAAAGAACCCTCTCTCCCCCTCAGATCAAACGGTCCTTTCTTTGCTTCTTCTTCTTCTGCCCTCTCCCCCATCTCCTCCTCCCCCTCCTCCACCCAATCCCCCGCCGCCTCCTTCAAAGACCGCCTCAGCTTCGACGACCCCACCAACTCTTCCGAAAACACCCCTCTCCCCTCCTCCCCCTCTACCCCTCATGTCCGCTGTCGACTCAACCGACGCCCTCGCCAAAGCCCAAACTCAATCGATCCCAAACTGCCCCCGCCATGTCCGCCATCCACAGCCTCTCTCACCCCGGCGACCCCACCGCAGGCGGCGACGACCCGAAACATCCCTCGATCATTTCTTCGAATCGCTTTCTTCACCCACCTCTGCTACAGTAAAAAGGTGAGATTTTTTGAGCCCAAGGAGGAGGAAGGAGAAGATAATGTCAGAATTAGGGCTAGGGTTTGAAGAAGAGAGGAAGAAGAAGCAGCAGCAACAGCATCAACAGTACAAGCTCCTTTTCTTTTCTAATTGATGTTGTAGTTTATTTTTTAGGGCTTTATATTTCTTTTACAATGTTCTGAAATTACCTATGCAATATGTTGGATAGATCTGATTTTCAATGTTTACATTTTCTTTTTTAAGAAAGCTTCTGAGGTCTCAAGATACATATTTGTCTTCAAATGAGATTTTTTAATACCATTATTGGAATTTACATTCTTTAGAAATATATTTTGATTTTGCTGGGTTTTAGATATCAATGCTCCTACATCAAGGTCCTTGAAATACTTGCTTCTAACGTCAACTTTATGGTGATTTTTTGATGTATTGGAGGAAACCTCTGTATGTGTTTCTAATTTTTTGATTATTTATACAGAGTTTTGTTATTGACTTTTGAATAGTGTATTAATTTGGACTAAGAGTGTTATTTTATAATTAATGCTAGAAACACGCAATTTCTATCATTCTCTACCTGGATTAGAGACGATTATTCATGTCAAGAAAGCCTTAGAAGTGAAGTTGGTATAAATTATTTCAAAATCTAGGATAAATTCACAAGACTATCTTTTAATTTGCTTTGCTATAATGTATTAGTTTTATGTGTAGTTAGAGTAGCAGACTGAAGTAGATCATGGCCCACTTTTTAATTAAATTATCTTGACCTAGCTCACTTTACCATTCCACCGAATCACCTGTAGTCTACTCTTGCTATTTAACTTTTTGTACATAAGTTGTTTGGTGTGGTAATTAGCTTCTTTGTGATGTTTAGACTACCTCTAGACTTATTTATTAAAGATGAGCAGAACAAGATCTAAGTAGATAGAGTTATATATCTGAGATTTTATAGAGTGACTGTGAAATTATGTTGAACTTGAAGTTATTGTGAATTGTTATTTTGTGGACCTTTTTGTTCTCTGTGCAATGCTTTGGACTGTTTTAATGAAAATAAGTGAATCATGGAAATATAATATGAGAGTTAGATGTGATTCAGTTGAATAATTAACAATATGAAATATATTTTTTATTCATGTTTTGGGCTGCTTGGCAGCTTCTAGGTTATCGAAAGAACCCGATGGGAGCTTCTGTATGAGATGTCGTTGGTATATGATTCCAGAGGAGACTGTGGTTGGGAGGCAACCTCATAACTTACGAAGGGAACTTTTCCGCACAAATCATTCGAGTGACATTGAGGTGAAAATTTCCATTTATCTTTTATTTTTATAAAAAAATTCACATTCTGATCATAATGAAGTTTGGTAGTGGTTCGTGTTTCTTTTGAATTGATTAGCCAATTTCAATGTACTAATATTTGCATTGGTTTTGGACTAATTGATGACAATAATCTCTATCATGATGATGGTTCTTCCTCGATATATCAATCAATTCACAATAACTCAAATGACTGGACAATGAGAATTTTTTTTATTTTTCTGCACAAACGATGAAATTCAAGAGCATATCAACCAAAAAAACTGTTAATTATGGTATTCTAGGATTTGCAAATACTTGATGAACGTTTTTTTTGCTGCAGCTAATTCAAGGGTCAAGTTGAAATTAGCCTAATTAGTCTATAAATATTTGATACTCTTTCTGACATAGCGAATTACTTTAACTAAAAGATTTTAACAAGAAACATTGGTCGGTATGATCGAACTTGAATAGTTGTCAAGGTGTAGATTCACAACTACTAAATTAACCGTTATGGGGTCATATATTTAGTTAGAAACAATTATACTGAGCCTTTTACTATGTCCACCTAACGTGCATAGATTTTTCTTTCTATTTACTTTTAATTTGTTACTTTAGAAGAACTTGACACACATGTGGATAAAACACATAATGCATAATATCCTATGTTTACATAACTTGATTCCTTATTCTGCATCAGATGGAATCGGTCATTAGGCACTGTTCTGTTTTGAACCCGAAGGAGTTCTCTGAAGCCAACAATGAGGAAGATGATATATTTTATTGTGAATATGAGTATGATGTTCATTGGCACAGTTTCAAAGCGTATTGCAGATATTAATGATGATGATGATGAAGAGGAGGTAGGTGTTCTTACTAAATAAGGAACTTAATAAACTTTTGGAAGAAGATGTTTCCTATCAAATCTGAAGTTCAATTGTTCTTATTGGCTTACATTTAGAATAATGGAAGAACTGAGAAAGATGAGGAATTGAAAATTTCCAAGGATACAGGTTGTGAAACATATGACAATTCAGAAAATGAAGAAGATGTAGCTGCGGAATCTACTTCTCGCAAGCATCCGACTCAGGAGCTGGTTGTAGTATGCTTCTTAGTCTAGGCTGAACAGTTTTTTATTGTTAGTTGAGTTTATAGTACTGCATTATATATATTTTTTTGCAGAACTCACGCAAGGGAAGAGCATTTGGCATTCACAAGATAGGAATAAAGAAGATCCCGGGGCATGTACGTCGCCATAATCAAACTGAATTGGAAAAGGCAAAGGCAACACTGCTACTGGCAACATTGCCTAAATCCTTGCCTCGCAGAAATAAGTACGTACTACTTGCTTAGATATTTTCCGGTTCATTGCATGTTTGTCAGTCAATTTTATAAAATTATGAGCTTATGTCCCAGAGAAATGGATGAGATAACTTCATTCATCAAAGGGGCCATTTGTGGCTAACAATGTTTTGGGCGCTGCCTTTATATTCATGGTGTTCCTGGAACTGGCAAGGTTGGTGATTTTTCTATATTTACTTCTCCCTTTACCATGTTATTATTAATTTTCTACAATATACCAAACAGATGGATAATTCATAAATGAACTATCGAATCGAACTTGATGAAAATTATTTGTTTAGTACTAAATGAACTATAAAATCGAACTTGATCAAATATCTTACGAATAATAACTGAACTGCTTATTAATTATTCTGTTCACTTCCACCACTATACTTCTTATCTAAAGGAGAATACTTTATTTTGGTAACATGTTCAATATTTACAGAAAATCTTTTAGAAACCGTGCTTTGCACGGGTCTAAATACTAGTAATTATATAATAAAGAAATATAAGATTGTTATATGAATTTTAATTTAGTATTTGACTAAAAAAACATTGGTCTCATGTAATATTTTGTTTTTGTGTCCCCTTTTTGATGCAGGACACCTTGGTTGTTTCAAAATGAAAAAAAAAAACAAGTCAAGAGCAACAGGTTTGCATGGTTCAAAATATTTAATTTCAAACTCATTAATTCTATAACACCCAACTTTTTGGTCAGACTGCACACTGACAAGTATGACCCATAGTGACTTCTTTCTAGTTGTAAAGGAAAACAAAACTTATGATAAAGTCCTTAACCATACTAACGTGAACTCCAAATCCAAATAACTCTCCTGCAATTAGATTTCTGACAGCCAGATTATGCACAAAAACATGGAAGAAATGAAACATGGGAAAGGAACTTGGTGTCAACTATTTCCAGGTAAAACCGAAAAAGAAGAAGAAGAAGAAACATCAGTAAAATGTTAGCATCTATGCTTAAGCATATGACTGAAAAGGAAAAGAATCCAAAATTACAAAGTTTATGGACATTTTTAAAGAGATTAAAGCAGAAAAAAAGCCTCAAGCAGCTATGATAGAAAAGGAGAGTGCAACAATGACATACTCCGTCAGAAGCAGCTACGATGGAATGAAGATTTGGTATTGAGTCAGCGCTTTCAATTTTAACAATCACGTGAATATCCGCATTGCAACCTTAATAAGAAATAGAAGGATTATCATTTCTCTGTAATGATTAGCATTAGCGGAACAAATATTTCCAAAAACATGTTTAAAGATATACTTCTGAGATAATCCTTCAGTTCATGGACCACTTGAGCATCTTTTACAAAAGACACTGCATAAAAATCAATTTTGTTGTCTACGCCAAATTTGATATCTTCCCAATCCTTTTCTGTAGAAATCATGAGAAATAATTAATAATAATAATAATATTAGTAGTAGTAGGAGGAGGAGGAGGAGGAGGAGATGCCATGAACTTTAGCAATCTAAAACGTGGAAGAAATTTCAGTATGCTGAACGCATAAATTGGAGCAAACCTGTGATAGATGGCAGTGTAGCACTTTTTCCACGAACATTTAAGTGTCGCCTTGATTTTAATTCACCACCATCAATGACTTCACATTTAACAGTATCAGCTGTTTTTGACTTAACAGACAGTGACATCATCCCTCCTATAAGTAGAATATCAAGGCTATTAAGCTTTGATCAGAAAAATGTTTAGTTATACTTCTTAACAGTCTACAAAAGATCTATTATTTGATATCAAAAGAAAGTTAATTCTTCATGCATTGGTGTATTGATTGTAGTTCTACCTATGGAAGCACAAAAATCTAACCGCATAATGTTGCACAAACCCAAAGTCAACGGCCCCCCCCCAAAAAAAAAAAGAAAAGAAAAAGAAAAAAAAGCCAACGGTCTTGCAGCAGCACAACCATGCTTGACCGTTCACATATGTAACTTAATATCCCTGATTTCTTAGTGACATCGTGCAAGTTTAAGGACACTAGGTGGCAAATGCTAGATGATGGAACTATGGGATTGAGAATTTACAAATATGAACTGAGTCATGTACCAAAACCTAGGCTCACCATCAACCAGTAGAGTGTCACCAGCATCTACATCATTCACAAAGTCGTCATAGTTGACACTAACAGTATCTTCAGTACTGACTCCTCTTTTAATGGTAAAATTGAACTCTTGGCCCTCTTTGAGAAAGATTGGTTGGGGAACATCTCCACTTCGTACTTCTGGGCCCTGCACAAAGTTTTCATCTGAAGCATCAGTCATTTATTTCTTTGACCCAGTTCTTGTATAAATTAGAATGATAAGTGAACAAAAGCCAATCCTCGGAGAAAAATGAACACACTTGGATAGAAGGGATCTAAAGAACCAGACCATGTCACGAAAAAAGATCCAATTTACAAATCTTTTTCACTGTAAGACAACTGAGTTAGGCCTGGTAGAGTAGAAATTTCACAATTAAGATATAAAGTGGCTCAATAAAGCATATACACTTGATTCAATATTCAACATGTGTATTCATATTTTTTTTGCGCATGGTTAGACATTCACCATACTGGCGTTCATCTAACCAGTATTTCGGTAAGATGACATTGTCTGAGCTGTTACCAAGATATCAGAAATCATCAAGTGCACTAAAATGAACCACACAGTAAATTCTTAGTGCATTATGGGTGACTCAGTCTAAGGTCGAAACATGGGAAGATAACATAAAACAACATGTTGGGTTTACCATCTTGCGAGATAACCATTGAAATGTAAAATGATTTGGCTAGAATCATAATATAACATGATCATATATTGAAGTGTATACAAACTGCTAATCGGATTATATATGAACAGAATTGAAACTACAAGAAATTGAACATACAATTTATACTAGTTTTTATGCTAACTTTTTACCTTTCAGTCATCATCAATGACTTTTTAAACCAGTTGACGCAAACTACTTTAGTTCTGAGTTGAGATATCTATAAGTGGCCTACTGCTTAAGCCTGGAACCAGGCCATCAACGAGAGCATTCCATTTTCAATATGCTTTAAATATTGTGGACTGTCTTATATGAGTAGATTAGCTTATAAAGGTCCAGCTTCGAGATTTGCTACATATTGTCTGGTTTTTATTTTAGAAAAGAAAACAAGAAGCATTTATATGATAGAAAAAGCACATCCTTCTATCAAGTTTCCTAATGTGTAAATAAGCAAAGGTTTTTGTTAATGTTCTGGAACCAGGTGCCAGCAGAAACTACCAGCGAGAACACGTTCGCACTTCTACCAAGTCATGAAAAAGCCATTACCTAACAATAACGGTATAACTTTCATAATTTTTAAACATATAGAAAGTTACAATAAAAAAATAAATCCAAACTCCACAAAACAATGAAAGCATAAACTTGGTATCTGGTTCCCAAGCACAACAGTAACAGTCAGAACTTATATTGCATTCATGTGCCCAAGTACTGTCATCCACTATGGCCATGTATGTAGTCCAGAAGATGCATTCAAATGCAAGATGCAATGATTGTAGAACAACAAGTTCTTATACATACAAATAAAATTTTCCAGCATCTTAACTAACTATACCTCTAGCGTTCTAGGTCATGTTTGCATAGGGTGTTATTTTTAGGTAATAAGCCTCTACCCTAAAAATGAAATAGTAACTTGTTTGGTTGATAATTTTGGAGGGGATAGGCCGTACTAATTAGTCCTTTAAAATGAAATAGTCCAGAGATTTTGGACAAAATAAAGGAGGTGGAGGGAGTGTTATTACAGTCCTGGGACTATTTCCCAATTAAGATTAGACTCAAAAAGACTTAATTGCCCCCATAACTTTCCCAAAAATTATCTATGGATTTCCCTGTAATAATTGGATAAGTTTCACTTAATCCCCGAAATTAAAAAATTATGATTTTTTCCCCAAATATAAAAAGCTGAAAATTACAAAGAGGCTCCTGAATAAATAAAAAGCTACAAGAGCCCCTGAAAAAATTGAAAGTTACATAGACAGCTTGAAAACCTGAAAATTGCAAACAGCCCCCAGAAAGATATGGAAGTTGCAGACAATCCCTTAAAATCTAAAAACTACAAACAACCTCCTAAAAATTTTGAAAAATTACAAACTACCCCTAAAAATAAAAAAATACAAATAATCCCTGGAAAAATCCGGGCGGTTTGTATGGGTTGTTTGTAAGTTTTTGGTCTTTTAGGGGCTATTTGTAATGCTCGGTTTTCAAGTGGCTATTTGTATTCTCAGATTTTTTTTAAGAAGGTTGTTTGTAATTTTTAGATTTTTCAAGGAGTTCTTTATAATTTTTAAATTTAAAGGGTTGCTGGCAATCTTTAGATTTTTCATTGGTTGTCTGCCTTTTTTAGGAGCTGTTTGATGCTTTAGATTTTTTCAAGGGGCTCTTTGTAAAAAAAAATTCACAAGTTGTTAGTAATTTCCATTTTTTTGGCAAAACATTTATACTTTTCAAATTTTAGAGAAGTTAGCAAATATGAAGATTTGATTTGTTGATCTACAAATAGGGATGATTTTGGGGTATACATGACAAGTATGCAGTAGGATACTGTGGACATTTTTTATTATGTGACAATCCCATGTCATCATATAATGACAAGTTCCAAAACATGACATAGATAATAGAAGTGCTAATAACAAATTGAACCAAATATATTATGAAAATTTTAACCACTATACTATAGTTCGTTGGATTATTATATCCCACAACTATAATGAGTTAATTTAGTCCCGGGATAAAACTGGTCCACAGTCCAAACATAGCCCTAGAATTTAAAGAATAGCTTAGAATAAACAGTACATTTAGAATAAGATAGAAAATTAAATGCAAGTGCTAAAAGATGTTTCCAAGAAGAAAGCATACCTTTGTGTCTAGCATAATAGCGATTACATGGTCTTTGGATTGTGAATTATACTCCTTAACGAAATCAATAGTTTTCTGGTGCGAATTGTGGTCACCATGAGACATATTCAACCGGGCAACATTCATGCCTGCTTCTGCTAGCTTCCATATCATTTCACGAGAGCTAGTGGAAGGACCAATCGTACATACTATCTTTGTTTTCCTGTGTGGAATTGAGGACTCACTTTGTTCCCCCTGATCAAGTTAAACACATCGCCAGTCAGATATTGAGATACTAGTTATCGCATTGAAGTAGACCTAGCATTGAAGTATGCAAATTCTCAAATACAGTCTGAATTAGTGCAGAATTATTCATATTACACCAAGGTTAACTGCCTGAGAATTAATCTGAAAACCTTTCCAATCTTGGCTACGATTGTCCCTTTGATCCCTTGGAAACAGCTATTCTTTTCTGTTAACAAAGACAGCTCTTTTCCACAAAGGTCAGCATCTCCTATAGGGTAGGAAGTGATGCCATTATTATCTTGTTGGCTCTGAACAATACTGCCATGTTATCTCGTGCTTTCGCAAACATTATTTTAGTTATTTTTCCAATTTCTGGTATGACTTTGAGAGCGAAAGAATAAAACAACCACCATAGTCATAATAATACAATATTACGTTTGCTACAACATCGTAATACTATGTTTCGTGCATGTCACCGGCATGAATTTTCTCACGGTTTCCTTGTGGTTTGTTTTCTTTCTCCCCCCTCTCTTTTTCTAGGACCCAAACAAACACCAAGGTTATTGCATCATCATGAACGCTAAAATTAAAGGAAGGTTAACTTCTCCTCAAATTATTTATAATAAAAGAAGAGCTTTCTCTGTGAAAATTTCAAAACAACTCACAGGGCTAACGGTTCCATTGCTCGATTCCAGATCCACCGCCTCGATCCGCTCGCTGATTTTAACGGATCTCACGGTCAACTCCTTCCGACGACACGTCAGCGGCCGGGACCTCCTCTTCGAAAGCGGAATCCCACGGCCCGAGACTCGTCGGCGAGGCCAGGCTCGGCCCCTCCGCCGCGCTGCGCCCTCGACGCCGCACCCGTACCAGAAACCCACCGATTCTCCGTCGCCGTCGCCATTAGAGACTTTTTAAAGATAAGCGAGCTCGAGTCGAGGTTCGCTAGTTTTGTTTATTTATTGAACGATAAAAGTCCTTGAGAATTGAGGCCTCCGAAAGCTTTGGAGCCTCCACCAGCGTTCGACGCCCGACAAGAACTCTGCCCTCGGTGTTTTCTCGTTGGCTCTGCTGGTGGTAAATTACTTAAATAGCCCTCGATATCATTGGCGGCCTTCCGAATTGGACCTTTGACCCGTGACGTGTTCCGCCTGCCCGTTGTGTTTTCCGTGGGGAGTTCTACAGAATAAAGAATGTTGGTGCACCGAATTCAATGTTTTCTTGTTTGTGTGAGAAAATGTTTTGGACGTGGATTTCTAATTGGTAAAAAATTGGCGCGGTTTTCAAATTTTTTTTATAAGGATGGACTTGTGTGTGTTCGTCAGGGACCAAAGAAAAGTGAACACGCATGATAAATGAGGGGAAAGACCTTTTCTGTGACAGAAATATTAAATCATCTCCTTGCTATAATATATATATATATATATATATATAATATATATTATATATATATATATATATATATATAATAATATATTTTTTTTTTTTTTTTTTTTTTTTTAATTTTTAAATAAAGTGCTGATTTTTTTTTTTTGGATGATAAATTTGTTTGATACCCATTACAATTTATGGAGAGAGTGGCATTTTTTTCCCCTAGACCTGTCACCGACTCTGGCCAAGTCTTTTATGCTTCAAAATTCATTAGATTAGATGGTTTGAACTTTGATCGCTTCATTTGCTCTCATCTAGTCTGTATCGAAACGGTAGGGGGGTATTCATTGGTGTAAAAATTAGGATAATGGGATAATTTTAGGAACACCAGTTTTCAGTGTTATTCATTGGTGTAATTGGAACTGGAGTATCTGTTGTGGTGTTATTAGTTTGTTGGGATAATTGGGGGACAAATACCCCACTTCCCCTAAAATTACACCAACTATATAAACATAACTCAACCCCAACCCTCAAAATTACCCCATATTGATTTCTGGAACAAGAGAGCGGAACAAAATTACCCCATTTTCTGGTTCTCGAGCTCGATCCCCCCGGTCGTCGTTCTCGAGCTCGAGCGAGCTCGAGGCCACCCCTGTCGCCGTTCTCGAGCTCGAGCGCCTGATCTTCCGTCGGGTTCTCGAGCTCGAGCGCCGCTCCTCGTCGTCGGAATCAGAGCTCGAGCGCCGCTCCTCCGCCGTTCTCTAGCACGACCGGCCGCTCGATCGTCCGCTCCTCCGTCGGAGATCCGATGCCAAGATCGCCGGTCTCGAGCTCGATATCCCGACGCCAAAATCGATCGTGACCCTAACTCCGTCATCTCGAGCTCGATATCCTGACGCCAAGATCGCCGTTCGCCGAACTCGAGAGCCCCAAGCCCGGATTTCCCCTGTCGCCGTCATCTCCTCCGCCTCCTCTTCCACCGTGACCCCAACCCAGGTACGTGCCCTTTTCCCCCAACTGAATTAATTTGTGGTTGTGAAATGTGAATGAAATTTGAGTTTATGGATGAAATGTGAATGAAATTATGGATGTGAAATGTGAATTCTTGATCCATCTCAGAGAGAATAATTTTACCCAATTTGTCCCACTTTATCCCACTCAAATTATCCCATTGGGTAAAATTACCCCATTGGAACAATTTTACCCAATTTGCCCCAAATTACACCAATGAATAACCCCCCAAAGAGAGAATTGAGGTTTACACTTAAAAAGTTTTATTATTTACTCAAGCTAACACATAAATATCCTCACTTGTAAAGTCCTACATTTAAGTACTTTAAGGCATTCAAAACTCCAAACGGTGTCATAGTCTTCTAATAAATGACCCCGTTTAACTCACCTATTCCATTTAATCCAATGGTACGGAAACTTAGGTGGTAAAGAATTATCATAAATTATCATGTGACTACTAGAGGGTATTTATGTACAAACAAATTTATCATAACAGTTCACTAATATCATGTGACTACTAGAGGGTATTTATGTACAAACAAATTTATCATAACAAATTTATCATAGAGTTTTGCTACAGGGACCCAAAATATGGGACCAATAGAGGGGACAAGTGAGGTGTCTCCCTCATATTGGATAATGAGTTGGCCATCATTAATGATGGCCAACTCATTATCCAATATGAGGGAGACACCTCACTTGTCCCCTCTATTGGTCCCATATTTTGGGTCCTTGAGGAATTTTTCTTTATTTATCATAAATTACTCGAGCTAATTCTCTGAATATCCTAACAGTTCACTAATATAGGGTATCAACGTGAAATATTTAGAAACTTTAGGGTTTTAAGTATATAGTTCTACAAATGAGGGTATTTATGTACAATATTGGTAAACGATAGGATATTAAAGTGTAATTTAACCTTACCAAAATAGAGAAAAGTTTTGAATTTGCAGACGCGAGTAGTTAGGTTCGTGCATAGGCCACAAGCACACATGTGAGCTCATGATTAACAACATTTGACATTTATAATTCCTTTATGTTGGTGACGAGTTCAAAAAAATACATGAAAATGGTAAGACAGTAGCTTAGCAGTGTAAAGATGCTATTAGAGCACTTCATAGAAAAAAGATTGATCTATACCATTTAAGGACGGTTAGAAGGTTAATATGAAAATCTCAACTCTTCTATTTATAAAGTGGATCACCCCACTCCTATTAAGATATTTCTAATAGGATCCCAATTGAGCATAGCAACCCATTGTAAACCAAATAATAAAAGGATTGGTAAATAGAGATGAGTTGGAGGGGGGCAGTCGGAGAGGTCCGCCCCCCCCCACCCCCCCACCCCCCCCCCCCACCCCACCAAACACCACACACACAAGAAAAAAATTTAATAGGGATAGAGTGATACCAAAAATGACCTTCTAGGCACAATTAAAAAAAGCCCCAAAAAACAATTATAAAAGTATCTATCAAGCCCTTTAACCCCCCCCCCCCCATCTACCAAGCCCCTTAACCCCCCCAACCCTACCCCCCACCCCACCCCACAAGCCCAATTCAAAAGTAAAACTCCAAGCCCAACTAATTGTTTGCTTTTGTGTAGTTCAAATTTTTTACTTTTGAGTTTGCTACTCATTTTGTCATTTCCTTCCATAGAACTAGATTTTTTTTCCCCCTAATTGCCAGCTCATTGAAAATGGAATATCCTCCGAATACTAGAGAATCTCGCTCGAGAAATAGAAGCTTCTTCTCTACACTCTGATCGCGAACTCCACTCTATTTCTTCCCCTTCGACCTTGCCAGACTCCAACCGGCTAGACCCACAAGGTATTTAGTATTTGTTTCTCAATTCTATGTTTTAAGGATTTCTATACAACAGTTCTTGATTGAGTATTTCGACATGGTGTTTCAAAAATTAGGCATTTACTTTGTAGCACAAGATATATTAGATATATTTATTCTCAAAATTTAAGTAATTAAGGATTTAGATCTTTTGGTGAGTTATGAGATTTCTAGTTTGAATGCAATTTTGAGTGAGATTGAATAGAACAAGTAATTTTTGAGTAACTGAATCAATGCAAAACTAGTTTTAGATATTTTGTCATTGCATAACTTATGTATAACTTTTTAGTCAATTTGCAAAGGAAGATCTGTTTAAAAATTAGGGAAAATTGTGTCTAGGCTCCAAAATATTAAAGGGGATGTGACTAGGGCCCCTCTTACTTTTTTTTGGTGCCAAAGCCCCAAACACAAGAAAAACTTGTGTTTCAGCCCCTCTTTCCTTTCCCAAGACAGCACAGTGAGTCATTAATTAGGAATACCCTAAAATACCCTTCATCCCCTTCCCCTTCCCCTCAAAACCTTTCTGGCATCTCTTCCTCTCCTCTCTTCTCATGCTCAAAACTCTTCAAACCTCCGTGAAATTGGGCGGAGGCGGCAACGAGAAGAAGCCGTCAAACCCTAATTTCTCATCACCGTGGATCCTACAAGCACCAAGCATAGCACCCCAATCACTGAATGTTCTTTACACGGTGACTTACACGGTGACTTATTGATGGTTACAAGCAGAAAGAACTGCTAAAAAGTTACATAATTTGGTCTAATCCCTTCTTCTATCATGTGGGTGTGGATAGTGATTGGGATATGGCCATTGATTATCATGTGGGTGTGGATTCTTTGTGGTTAGATAGTGATTGGGGATATGTCCATTGATTATCATGTGGGTGTGGATTCTTCTTCTGAGCTTGGAATCTTTAAGCTTTATAGTTTCTTGAAGAAGAAAATCATATGTCTAGGGGTCACAGTGATTATTGCAAGCGAACAACAGCTTGACTGCTTCCATGATTTTTTCAGAGAAGCAGAGCTCCCTTATTAACTTCATACGTTTCATCAACTCAAGATGGAAATTTTTGCCGACGGATATGCTTTAATTTTGAAAACATCTCCTGGCCTGCGAGTGGAGTTGGATTCAGTGGTTTCATCAACTCTCCACTCTTTCTTATGGTTTTGTGTTCTTGATTAAGCATTGACAGATACGCGATGAATCAGCTTGTTGTAGGAGTATGTGATATCGTTTGTTGTACATGTGGGTGGACTGCTTCTTACAACAATATTTTTGTTATAGAAATACAGGTCGTATAGAATTTTATAGTATATTGTGGAAGACTTTTGTAATCTGTGAAGCTGTAAGACTAATCATATTATATATTCAAGCAATATCAGTTGTAAGAATGTAAGAAATTTTGTGTAATGTACTTGTTTAGCTGAGGTATACTATTTTGGCTTCCTGCTAACTCTCGGCTAACTTTAACTAACTTTTAAGTTAAGATGTTAACTTTTAGCTGAACATGTTAATTCTTGATTAAAAATGTTAACTACAAGTAAGACATGTTAACATTTAAATGTAT